CCACCCAGCAGCTAAAGAGATGGCTCCTGCTCTTGGGCTGGCGGGTAAGCCGTGGAGGCCCCCGTTGTCTGGTGATGGGAACGCTGAGGGGCCCATTGGTGTGGTGGGTAGGCCAATCTCCGACACCACTGAGAAGGTGGATCTGGCAGGGGGGTGGGCACGCTCTTGGGCGGTGGACCCAGGTGGCTGTAGAGAAGATGTCCAAAGGGACCCTCCTTCATCCCACATAGTAACCCCCAGAGGTGTGTGGTGCCAATGAGGAAACTGAGGTAATGAGAGGACTTCCAGCTCATCCTTCTGAAGCCAAGACTCGACCCAAGTCTTCCTGAGTTCCCCACAGCCATAGGGGACTCAAGGGCAGGGGTGGTAGGCCCCATAAGCCATGGCCTCTCGGCTCCGACTTGGGGTTCAGAGAATGAAGAGCCGGTGGCCCTTGTGTGGGTCTGGGTATGTTCTCTTGGGAGGTAGAAGGGGGCACCTGCCTCTTTGAAGCTTCTTCTTGGTGGTTGCCCTGATCCAGCTGTGTGCGCCTTGCCTGCTGGCTTTGCTCAGAGGCAGGGTGGGGGCCTGTGCTCATTCCCCACGGGGCTGGGCCGGGCAGTGGCCAAGGCCACTGCAGGAGCAGGCGCCTCCTTGCTAGCGTCCTCGTTGTCCCGTGACACGCACATTTCACCAGCCACAGAATCAAAGATGGCACCCACACTTTTAGAAAAGACCTGATTATGGTATAAATCCACCAAAGGGGGTACGTTATTTGATAAGATATTCCAAGTCAACCCTGTTCCCCAGCTCCCTGGTTGGCTCCCTTCCCTGCCCTAGCCCTTGGTAACCGTGAATCTTTCATCCCTGTGCCGCCTCTTCACCTAGACATTGCTATAAGCAGGGCCATAGCAGTGTGTGTTCTTCGGTGTCTAACTTAACTCACCGAGTAAAATGTGATTTCACTGCAGGAAAGTACATGTAACAGTTATCCCAGTCCTTACGCCGCTGTGCCACCAGGGCTCCCGATACTTCATATCCCCCAAATCAAGTCAATTAGTGGCTCATAGTGACCCTGTAGGTTTCTGAGACTCTTTACAGAAGCAGAAAGCCTTGCCTTTCACCCTCGGAGCAGCTGGAGGTTCCGAACGGCTGACCTCGTGATTAGCCGCCCAAGGCTTCAGTGGAGCTGTATTTGACCTTTTGGGTCGTGGCTATTTTCACTTCGACCCTAACTTTTGCTGGACCCTTTGCTAATTAATCCCTTGCTATATGTAATCTTACTCTCACAACCATTTGAAGCATGCCAATCCGTCCATCCATCGAGAAAGACAGTGACTTCACCGCTCCTCCTAATGGTGTGGTGTCTGTCCGGTCCCCCAGCTCGTTTGTGGCTTGCATTTGAACCCAGGGCTTTCTTCCTGCAGAGCTGGAGCTCCTAGCCATGGGCTGAGGGGGTGGGGCTCCCTCTCTCGGCCCTCTCTGGTTCCCCTCGACCATGAGGAGGCCTCTTTCATGGTCACGCGTGGCTCTCCCCGCCCACAGGAGAGTGAGGACGCCGTCAAGGCCCTGGCCAAGGAGAAGGACCTACTGGAGCGGGAGAAGTGGGAGCTGCGGCGCCAAGCCAAAGAGGCCACGGACCATGCCACAGCGCTGCGCTCCCAGCTGGACCTCAAGGACAACCGCATGAAGGAGCTGGAGGCCGAGCTCGCCATGGTGAGGGTCCTTTCCCACAGAGGGCGGCCCAGGCATCTGGGAGACGTGCCCCGCCAACCCCGGTGGGGACAGAAGTGGCCCACGTGTTGATACAGAGGAGTCAGGCAGAGGAGGGTGGGAGCAGCCAAGGGGTCCCCTTTCTACTCCCTCTCTCCCTACAGTCTCCTCTACCCCAGGGAAGGCCGCCCTTCCTCCTGCTGCCACTGGGAGCACAGGGTTCCAAAGAGGCCAGGCTTGTGTCCACACGCCCCTCTCTACTATTAACAGAAGAAAAACCGCCTTGTTTAACATACATTTGTTTAGGAAAGGGTTTGGGAGGATGTGGGCCAAAGTACTTACCTGCTGGTTGCTGGTCTAGTGGCTTCTGATGTGGCAGCCCCGTGTGCAGAACAGAACCTGGGTCCCAGGGCCTGTCAGGGCTGTGACCTTTCAAAAGCAGGTCGCCAGGCCTGTCTTTCGAGGCACCTCTGGGTGGGTATCCACTATGCTAATAATCTCTTTTTAAAAACAGAATACCAGACTAGTCCCAAGGAGTTGGGAATTGATGATGCCCTAAATGAACAACTCTTCCATGAGGTTATTATGCTCCAATCCTCTGCCGCCCCCCACCCCCACCCCCACTCCTCCCTTGAGTATATTCTCCCACGTGCCTGGGTTCCATGAATCGCTGTAACGTCCCAGCAAAACTCAGGAAAGTTTGAGGCAATGTCGTGTGTGGTGCTGGGTGCTGTACAGTCTAAAATCCGAAGGTCGGGCAGGGGTATACCAGCTGCTGGGGCCAGAAGACACACTCCACGCCTGGCTCTTGCCGGTGATGATCCCAAGCCCCGCTGCGTCTCAGTGTGCTCCTTTTATACACAGCAGGGAATCCTGTTCACAGTTACCCACAGGTGAATCCTATCAGCATCTTCCCCCTCCTTCTTACCAGACCCATGGTGGGAGTTAAATTACCAATAGTGCAATCAAATTAACATGCAACCCTGCACCTTTGTAATGATATCCAGAGCTAATAATCTGGACTGTGTCTTACTGATGCACATATGACCTGGGGCCTTTGGCAGGACGTGTCCTGCAGGCACTGGCCTCCTACTGATCTTAATCAGCCAGGCTTTCTCCTAGGCCAGAAGCAGCTTGTCTCTCCGCTGTGCCAGAGTGGGGCTGGTTCACACCCTCGACTAAGGTCAGGACTTAGGCTTTTCCCCTTCTTGTCCTCCAAAGTGGGACTACAGTCACATGAAGTCCAGAATTATAAGTCACGCAAGAATTCACATACCGCATGTACTCGTGTACAAGCCGAGGGTTTTCAGCATATTTTTTTATGCAGTTTTTGTGGTAAAATTAGGCACCTTGGCTGATATTCGAGTTGGCTTATACGCGAGTATACATGGTAAGCACCAAGTCCAGAATTACAGTATATCACATATAAGGAGCCCTGGTGATGGAGTGGGTAAACATTGGTCAGCAATCTGTAAAGTCAGCAGTTCGAAACCAGTGAGAAAGACAGGACTTTCTACTCTCAAAGAGAGTTAGTCTCAGAAACCCACAGGAGCAGCGCTGCCTTGCCCTATAGGCTCGCTAGGAATCGGCATCGGCTCCGTAGCAGTGAGGGATTATGACTGGAAAGGCCATATTAATTTACTGTAACTCACCCACCTCGAGCTTTTTGGTTTCATAGTCCAGCTTAGCTCTGGAGGATTACAGGTGATTTCTTTTCTTCTTGGGGGCCTATTTTCAAATGCATCTGCAGTGAAGATCCCCTACTGGAGTAACCGAGACAAAGTTACCTCTAAACCAAGACAAAACCCCACAATACTCCAATTCCCTTGTTTCTGGTTCGCCTATCTGTGGGGGATACAGAGGACACAGGTCACCGTCCAGGCTCGTGGGAGAACAGCGGCCCAGCACCCAGGAGTTCTGTGTTGATATCTCCCTGTGTGGCTTTGGGCTGCTCTCTGAACTGCTCTGGGCGTCAGTGCCCTTGACCTGCTAAGGGGAGAGAGAGGGCCCCTCTTCCCACCCACAAGGGGCCTTTGACGACCATGAGGGTTCATTTTGAGGGTGGCCGTGGTGGGAGGGAGCCATTTGGTCTTCCTGCAGAGCGCTGTGCCAATGGGGCAGGCAGAGCTCTTCCGCTCTGAGCCTCAGTGCCACCAACTTACAATAGCACGGACCTGGTAGGGTTGTGGTGAGGGTGTCCATGACCAGACACGTGGGCAGTGCCTGTTCATGGGAAGCAATGATGTGATAATGTGTTTCAGGGTCACTTACTTTAGGACCAGGCCACCCAGGGCAGGGCAGGGCAGGGCAGGGATGGGCAGACTCCGGCTGCCTTCTGGTCTCCTTATCCAGTGCTGCTCCCTAGTGGTGAGAGCTGCTGCTGCTGCTGCTGGCCTAAGGAAACACCAAGTGTACTTTGAGCCCTTGGGATGCACCCCACGGAAAATAGCTCTGGCTAACGTCACAGGAGGGTGTGCTGGGAGGAGCATGCAGGGGAAAGTGAAGGGCCAGGCCCAGAAACCAAAGGAAGCCAGCACTCTGGCCAGAAGGGTCCACCATGGTCACATGGTGCCCCTGCTGGGAGGATGCGGTCAAGCCCTTTGTCCTCTGATGAAGTCAGTTCCCATGCAGGTCTCCAAGTGGCCCATCTTGGGTCATGTGCTCAGTCCTTACTCGGGCCCGGGCGGCAGGCCCCAAGGATGGGTAATATCTTAGATGACCCTAGGTGCTGGCCGAGGGGCTGAGCAACACTTGCCCTGGCACTGAAGCCATTGGGGCCACAGGGTGCCAGGTGAGGGGTGAGCAGGTGCCCAGCCAGATGGGCCAGCCCCTCGAGGGAAAGCCCACATTCCCTGCCCGGCACATATCCATGGATAGGCTGCCTCCTGACCTCCCGTTTGACCAGTAAGTACCCTGAAGCTCTGAGTTCCAATTCCCTTTGGGGGTGGTGGTGGTGAAATTGCTGGAGTAGACACGTGCATGAAAATAGTTCCCAGGGGCTGAGCAGACCGGGGAGCACCCATTCTACTTAAGATCAAAATCAACTTATTTCCATCTCATTTAGTAGACCGGATTAAACAGGAAAAAATGCTGTGTGAATTGGCCCAGGGAGATGCTCAAATGCAGTGCGGGGTGGGGGAAGGTGGACACACTTCTGGCAGCTCCAGGTATTCCTTGGCTTGTTGCTCTTCCCCGCCTGTGCCTTTTATAAGAGCAGCGCTCAGCTTGGCTTTGGACCCACCCTCTGACCTTTCACATCTCAAAGACCCTATTTCCAAGCCATGAG